TCATATATTTTTTGATGCTGTTATATGGAAGTCAACAGTTTGACCTGTCTGTCCAGAGGAACAGCAACACAGTAGTTATCGAAAAGCACAGCTGCAATCATAAAAACTGCCATGAAAGCATTATATTTCCATATGACTATGGTCATATCCATTTTTGAGATTGGCAAACTTGCTTCCTAAGTAATGTAGCCCATATAAAACATACTTTGAATTTGCAAGGAAAAGCTGCTTTTTCATGCTATAGGTATCAGCCTGAGCACTGAAAGGCAAGTGCTGATCCTGGGAACCAGGGTGATTTAATCTTCCACAATGTAATTTGTGCTTTTGCTCTCAAAGAGTTAATTCACTCAGTGTATATTGCAAAAACTAAGTATGATCATGTTAAAAATGTGGTTCAATACAGCAGCAATTCTCCAGACAATTTGCAAAGTCATAAGAAACAAATACAACCCTTTCTCTGCTGATAATTCACTTACCAGTTTGTGAAATCTGTGTCCACAGTCCAGCACATGCAACAGACTTGAAGTTAGTTCTTCATGACATATTACACATGGATCATTATCCTATAGAAAAAAAAATGCATTTACTGCTATTTCAATACTTCAAAAATTATTGGCTTGCTACAGTATTAAGATAAAATAAATGCAGGCTCTCATAGAAGAATTCCAATAACTAATGCCCATATCTTCTATTTTACATGCATAAAGATCTCTATGATCTCCTGTTAAAGTGGCAGGGTTAAACCCTAACCCTGAAAGCAGCTGATTCAGAAAGTACTGAGCCAAATGGGCCAACTGTTTGACTTTATAAAAAGTACCTTTTAAACAGAATTTAATTTAATTTAGCAGCATCAAAATAAAAAGGCATCATTCTAACCCATGAGTCTTTGCAATATTTCTCTGCTTAATTCTAGAATGGAATATTATAATCCATTATATTTCAGTGTCAACAGATTAGAAAAATAATTGTATCCAAAGTTCCGTAAGTGAATTCTGCTCAGGGAATCAATTAAGACTATACTTTTCACAATTAGGTGATTTTTCCCTCCCATTCATGGAAAATTATCTTTCATGCAACCTGCTGTTCATTTTCTAAAAACTCTTTCATTTGTGAAAAAATGGTCATTTTGAAAACAGTGATATATTATCACTGTTCAGCAGTTTCTCATTAAACCTTTGAGAAAAATTCATTTTCAGTCTTCAAGAAGATTTTGGAATCTCCCATACCATATTGATATCGAACGCTGTTCATCTTTATTAAATTCAGCTCTGAAAAAAAATCTGGATTTTCAAAATTTATTTAGTCTATTCTCTGATTTCTATGATATTAGGCACTGCCCACATTTTGAAAACTCTTCTAAGACCTTGAAAGTTAAAAGGAAAATGGGCTTTGGAAAGAATATATATGACTGCTCCAAAATAATACCAAATTATCCAAATGGTTTTGCAAAACCATAGTTTTTATAGAAAACCTACAGTGGCATCATTTGATTTTTTCCACTTTGATTTTGATGTTTCACCAACAGTTTTCCATGGCATCTGATTTGATTGAAGTGGAAGGCTAGTTTTATTTTTGCCTTCATTAGCAACTCTAGACTTTGTTTTGCTTTGTCCCAATGTCTTTAATACTTTCTGAATATGACTTCCATTTTGTCCTGAAGAACAAGAGGATAACTTTTCATTTTTTCCAGAAGAGGAAAGAACCTTTAAAATGATAATGGAAAAGTATTAGTGATACTTCTTAATTTATACTTTATTCTTCCATTGCTTAGGCAGTTGACAAATATATGGATTAAAGCAAATGATTATTTAAAGCAAGAACACAAAGCAAACAAACAAAATAGAACATATCAGTGGTAAATATTCCAAATTAGCACTAAGACAAATCTTAGTCTCTAAGCAAAAGAGATGCCTTTGATAATGCATGTTGAATACCCAGTAAAAATGAAAAGCCTATGTAACTTCCTTGGCAAGCCATTCAAAACATTCTGAGCTGTAATAGAAAAGGCCTTATTGTTCGCTTCTCTTTCTATACAAATGAAATTTACTACAGGGAGTCTCACACATATTCCAAAATGTGAGATAACCTAACCTAACCTAACCTAACCTAACCTAACCTAACCTAACCTAACCTAACCTAAGGACTTTCCAAACTCTGGAATCCTTGGTGCTCTCTGAGCTTATTTGTTTGCTTCCAGATGTGCACTGATGTTACCTAGTCAGGTAATGAAATGTCTGCAAGCTCAGAGAGCACCAAGGACTCCACAGTTCAACCCTGAGCTACACATATTCTCTTCTATTGGACTTTCCAAAGTATCAGTTTCCAGCCTTTGGAACTGCAATACTGGTATCCTGAAATTTTGCCTGGGACACGTTGAATATTCTGCTATCTTCCTATATCCAAAATGAGACCTGCCAAGCATTTTTCTGTAAATGTAGTTTCTGCAGGCCAGAGAGAAAATAAGGAAAAACCTGACACTTTTCCCCATATCTTTCCCACCTTAGGTAGAGTATGAATGTGTCAATTTAGATTTTCTTTTGTGAGCTTATTTCTCATATATACCATATTATATCACATGTATTATGCAGGGGTTTTTTGGTACTTACATAAACATTTCTTGCAAATTACCTTTTTTGTGTTTGGATGATCCAGGATAAATTCAGTTACCCTGTTTAGGAACTCATCTGTGCTCAACTTGTTTCTATTCTTGACATTGATTTCTTTTATAAAATTTTCCAAATCTGAACTGCAGAAGACAAGAAGCACAGCTATTCAGAGCTTTTGCGGAAGATAAATACTATCTGCAATTATGGTTTATTTTAGAAAACGTGACTATCTAAAACTGAATTGCATTTTGTGCCCCCCTCCATTTGTATCCTCAAGAATATATATATTTTTAAAATAGCTAGTTATTATTTCTTTGTGAAAACAATGAAAACTTAAAGATACCTACCGTATTTTTCATAGTTCTTTGGATAAAACAAAGATTCCACTCTGAGTTTAAAAGATAACTATGTAATGTTACAACTCATCCCATGAATACTTTCCACTCTTGTTTCAGAAGAATTTATGCAACTGGGTCACATATAACTGAATCCCAGGCAAAGGACTCAATATGATAACAAATTATTATATTGTTATTGTTAAAAAAAATCTTCTTCTAAGAATAAAAAAACTTGAGTAACAGAGTCACTGACTTGAAGATAAAACTGAACTGAATCATAACAGAATGCTGAAGTGAGACTCAGCTCAGTTTCTACCAACCAATATAAAGTGAAGAAAAAAACAAACAAACATGGTAATAAGTGGCATGGTGCAAAAAGCACTATCACCAAGTCTTGAACTTTGTGCCCATACTGAAGCAAAGTTCACAAAAAGCAGAAGCCTCAAGTATCATAAATTGCTTGGTTTAATGTAATGACAGGAAGAGCCATTTCAGATTTTCTCTAGGAGCAACTTTAAATCGTACTAGGAGGAGCAAAAATAGATAATCATTTCTGAAGATTTGTGTCAGAGTATATTTTAGAATATTTAAATTATACATAGTACAATTTTAAATAGGAGACTTTTTACACACACACACACACAGAGGTTTTCAACTAAAGTGTGAGCTACCCATTTTTTCTAGCGTAGATATACCTTGTATGGTGTGGAAATATAGTTCTAAGTTGGTCAATGATATTTTCAGATAGCTTTGTGAGAATTGGTTTGCTTAGAACTGCGGCATAGTCCAGTCCTGCAGCTCCTGTTGGTTCCTCTAGAATGCTGTGCTGTAGCTGGACATTCTGAATATGTCTTCTGGAATTCCCTGGTGATTGAGGCAGACATACTTTATCAGAAAGTGAGTTTCGTCTGCATTCAGAAGGTAGTTCTCCAACGTCTTTATTGGAAGGAGGCTCTGAATCTTGATTGCCAGGGTGAGTTTTAACTTTGGAAGGTAAGGGGTAATTGTCATTAACGTCTGAAAATGAAGCAAACAGATGTGGAGCAGCAGCTGAATACATTATGATGGCTGGGTCATTAATAGGAGACTTCTCAGGAGCTGCCTAAAGGACAAGAATAGCACAAAGAAGACCAAATATGATGAGAAAAAAATATTCCAAGCATTCAAAAACTGTTTCTGCCACATCAGACAGCTTGAGATTGAAGTCTTTATTTATTTATAATTTTTAAAAACTGCCTCAGCCTTAAGATTCTAGGTGGCACACAAAGAACATGAGCAATAAGCCAATGTAAAAATAAATATATAAAAATATTAAAAATAAATACTACACTAAAATATCACATCCAACACCAATGATTCCCAAATAAAACAAAACTGGACAATAAAAATTAAAGCAAAAAGACAGTAAGAGTATTTTAATGTCACCTGTTTTGCTCAGGCAGTCATTTACTTATATGTGGTATTATATTTATAACAGTGCCTTACTTAGAGAAAAATAAGATTGTCAATATATATTCACTCTCTCATATGATTCCATATGATATACCAAGAATATCAGCAGAACAGGGCCTGAAATTTTCTACCAAAATATTGTAACACATCACAGCCTTTAATTCTATTGAAAAGTGAATCTCATACTGGGACATCACAGCCTTCTTCTCATTTCAGTCTCTCTGGGTGTTCAAACGATGTTTCATGGCAGCAATTTAGAAAAAAAGCTGAAGAACCACCCATCCATTGTTCAAACCAGTGCTGGTGGCGCCAGATGCCAGCTTCTTGGGACTGTATCTTCCCACAGGAAAGAAAACCCTAGAGGGCGCATGGCATGAGGATGAGAGTACTACACTTCTCTGTAAAAACATGAGCAAGCTATAGAACTGCTTGACCTTTTTGATGCTTCAAATCTGCAATCGTGAGAATGCAGCAATCTGTTCACTTTGGATGTAAAAACACTCATAAAATACTTACTGATGACAAACCATTAGGTGGCTGAAGATCTGCAGTTTCCACTGGGGTGATATTATTTAGAAGAGCACCATTTTTTACTATACAAATCCTCTCTTCAAACTGACTCTGCAGAAAAGAGATGAGAGGTACGTTTAACATTCTTAGATCTGAACTCTCTATCAAGAGTAGACTTATTTGGCTGAAAGCCCAAAATATAATCTATCAGTAAGAACTATATAAGTGAACACCTGATTCTTAGGCTAACATTACGTGTAGCATCTGGTCCCTTAAGGGATGTCATGACATATGCCTAAGTTCTTTTTATTAGTTAAAAAAAGAGAAATAAATATCCTGCAAAGCAAATCACTAAGCTCAAACATATTATTATTATTATTATTATTATTATTTTCAAAGATTTATATAGCCGCCCATATTGTAATGACAACCCTGGGCAGCGTACAAAACAGTAAAACCAACAAAACCACCCAAACCAAAAATAAAATCAATAAAAACTCCTTGGCATCCCAAGGCAGCACTATCCCACACATCTGTGCACCATTATGCTGTGCTCTAGCCTCATCCTACCCCAATGCTTGTGGGAAGAGCCAGCTCGTCAAGATCTTCCAGAAGGCAAGGATCTCACAAGGCAGGGCAACTATGGAGAAGGCACACTTCCTAGGCCCCACTAGATGACAACTTTTAAGGGAGGGGACGAGGAGCAAGCCCATCCTATCTGACTGGTGGGCCAGGCAGATACCCTCAGGGAGAAGCAGTCCTGCAAGAAGCCTGGTCCCATGCCATCTAGGGCTTTAAAGGTGGTAACCAGCACTTTAAATTGTACCCAGAAAGAAAATGGAAGCCAGTGCAGCTCATGCAGCAATGGTGTAATGTGGGTAAAACATGGAACACCCATAACTGTGCCACTGCTGCCACATTCTGGACCAGTTGTAGTTTCTGGATGGTCTTCAATGGCAGCCCGATGTAGAGCACAATACAATAATCCAACCAGGAACTGACCAGGCATGAGTGACCGCGAGCAAGGCCTCCCGGTCCATGAATGGCCGCAATTGTCACACAAGATGGATCTGTGCAAAGGCCCCCCTAGCCATGGCTGCCACCTGCTGTTGGAGCAGGAGCTGTGAGTCCAGGAGAACTTCCAAATTGCATACCAGCTCTGTTGGGGGGAGTGCAGCCCTGGTAAGAGTCAAAGGTATTTTACCTGAACGGGGGGGACCAAAAACCCAGAGTTACTCTATCTTGCTGAAGCCAATTTCTCCCCATCCAAAACCTTACTCCCTCCAGGAACTGAGCCAGCACCGGGGCAGTGTCTCTTGGTCAGCCAAGGCTGGAGATGTACAACTGGGTATCATTAGCATACTGATGATACTGCACCCCGTGCCAGCAGATGATCTCACCCAGATGTTAAAAAGAGGAAGTAAAAGACCCGAGTCCTGAGGCACCCCACATTGTAGGGCTTAGGGCTTAATCCCTCACTTCCCACCACACTGACTGGAACCTGTCACAGAAGGAGGAGAACCACCACAAAACAGTGTCCCTCATTCCCAACCCCTGGAACCACTCTAGAAGGATATCATGGTCAATGGTATTGAAAGCTCCTGAGAGATCGAGGAGGGCCAGAACTTCCCAAACCCTCATTCTCAAACCCTCCATAGGTCAACCACAAGTATGACCAACCTTGTCTTGGTGCTATAGCCTGAAAAGGGTCCAGATAATCCACTCCATCCAGGGCTCTCTGAAGCTGAGTGCCTACCATCTGCTCAACACCATTCCTCAAGAAAGGGAGGCTGGAAACCAGACAAAGGTTGTCTAATATGGTCAGGTACAAAGATGGCTTCTTAAGAAGGGGGTGCACCACAGCCTCCTTCAAGACAGGCAGCACCACCCCTTTCCACAAAGAGGCATAAATCACCTCTTGGACCCAACCACATGCTACCTCCTGGGATGCCTTAACTAACTAGGAGGGCCATGGGCCCAGCATGCAGGTGGCAGAACTAACAGACCCAAGGACCCTGTCTACTTCCTTAGGAGTAGCCTACTGAAACTCTTCCCAGAAAACGTGCCTCAATCACTTCCATAGGATCTGCCTAGACAGAGATTAACTCTGAGTGAAGCTGAGTGATTTTGTCCAACAGATGCTGAGAATATTCCTCAAAGAGGCCCAGCAAAGGCTTCCCTGGCCCCTCTTTACCCAGAAGGGACATGGTCACCATAAACAGGGCTGATGGCCATCTATCTACAGATGCTATAGGAGTGGAGAAGTAAATATGCTTCGCAGCTCTTATCACCACAAGGTAAGTCCTAAGAAAGGCTCTTGCCCATGTTTGGTTGGCTTCACACCTTGTCTTTCACCAAAGGCACTCTAGGCATCTTTTGTGTCATTTCATCTCCCTTAGCTCCTCAGTAAACCAAGGAGCTTTACGAGATCTGCAAACACAGAGAGTCTGCACAGGTGCAATCTGATCCAGGCATGCTCACTCCAAACTGCAACCAAGGCCTCAACTGAACCATGCTTCAGATCCTCTGGAAGAACCCCAAGCTCCTTCTGAAACCCAATTGGGCCCATCAGTTGTCTGGGCAGGCCAATCAAATAGGCAGTGGGGAATGGCCCAGAGAACACTAGAGCCATGATCTCTATGTTCAAGAATGTTTATGAACCCCACAGTTAACTCAAAGCAAAGATGTCCCAAATGTTTTGAGCTCATGGGTACATTTAGAACTTTGACACTGTATAACATTTCCAAGCCAGATTAATTACATCTAGGGTATTGCAGGAAATAGTTGATGGCCTGGTTGAATACATATCTGTTACCTGAGAAATCCTGGAGAAATAGCGAAGTGGCAAATGACTACAGAGTAAATATTGTCCCTGTTTTTTTAAAAAAGGAAGTTCCAGCAAACTATCAGACTAGTCAGTCTCAACTGATACCTGGGAAGATTCTAGAACAGATCAGATAGAGACTGAACTGTAAGCACTTTGAAAACAATGTGATGGAACAGACAAAAAATTGTATGATTAAATGGATACAGAATTTGAATACTGTAACAGAAATGAAACAATGGGAATTTCGATGGAAAAAATATTAAATTTGCACTAAATATTATATTCAGAGATATTTGGTACAAGAAGTTCTATTATTGGTACATTATATTTTTTCTAAAATGCTTAATAATAACAACAATAATATAAAAACCCATTGTGGTAATTACCTAGTGTCAGTATGGATCTGTTAATAACAAATTTTGTCAAACTAATCTTATTTCATTTTTGACTGGGTAACTTTAATAAATTGTATGAATGCTGTAAGCATAACACATCTTAACTTCACCAAAACATTTGACAAAGTACACCATGGTATGTTGATTAGCAGGTGACTAAACATATACATAGGTGGCTTGAAAATCATACTCGAGGAGTGCCATCAAATATTTCTTTTCAAACGGAATGCCACAAAGATCACTCCTGAGTCCTCTATGCTTCACGGTTTTAATAAATAATTTGAATGATGAGGTAGAGGGAATGCATATAACTTTTGCAGTGATATAAAATTGGGCAAGATATGGAATACCCTAGGACAGAGAAATATAATTTAAAACAATCTTGATAGGTTAGAGCACTGTTTCTCAACCTCGGCAACTTTAAGACGTGTGGACTTCAACTCCCAGAATTC